CATGTCAATATTTATACATCTGGCTCAATTCAGATCACCTTCAAAACTCAGTCACACACCCAGGGCCATTTCAAGACATTTTGGGGCCAAGGCAAAACAGAACCCCCCCCCCCCCCCCCCCCCCCCACACACACACACACACACACACACACACCATAACTGGGCTCCCCAGAAGCCTCTGTGTAATTCATACCCTCTCCAGGAGTATTCATTATACAGTGTTAGTAAAAGCCCCTCAGACATCACTGACATGTTCTAATATTATCAGATGAAAAACTAAATTATCAGACATGCTGTCTCATCTGCTGCTTTTCTAAACTTGCTAAAAGTAACAAAACCATTTGAAAGCCACTATTTGTGGATTCTCTGAAAGTTTCCATGGAGTGTGTGACAACTTATTTTCTCATTGATCCTATCGTCTAATCTCACAGCTGAAACAAGCATCCTTAATAATCTGTGCACAGGAAGCTTACCAATGCTGTAGTAAAACAAAAGGTATAATAATTCCTTATTAATAAAACCTTGTTGCAGCACTAAAGCAGAAAAATGAGATTTTGCAATAAATATGCAAAATATTTACATATGAATTGTTTTAGAGCCCTTTTATTGGCAGAATCTGATATTAATTTCAGGTCTTACAAAAAAATGGGTCCCAACGTGGTTTGTGTGGCGTTGCCTTAGTGTGACGTCATAGGCACAGATCCCCTGTCCTCTTTTTTGGAAATGGAAATATGATCACCCTATATTAAACAAACTGTCCACCCGGGCTTTTGCGCTGCACAAAGACGCTTCGCTGCCCTAGGACTTTGAACGTCAGTTGAGAGTCAGTCTCGTGCAGACTGACCAATGAAGAGAGGGCCTCAAGACCCTCTCCTCATTGGTCAGTCCACTCGAGGTGGGTCAAAGGTTACCTTGAGTGGGTTACGTGACGTCAGGCATTCAAGTATTGAGTTTATTTACTGCATATTACAGGTAAAATATTCTGTGTATGACCATATTATGGTGATCCTTGGGTCGTGATGATGGGGCTTTTGAATATTGTTGCCCAGGGTACAACAAAGTGTTAATCTGGCCCTGATACAGATGCAGTGGTCTCTAGTTGGAAGATGAATGCCTTGTAAGTTGTATTCGGGGGGAAGCATCAGTGTCCTGTTTGAGAAACTAAGTGAGCCACATCAGAGCTGAGCATCAGACAATGGGATTTTGAGTCCTACTTCATGATATTTGGACATCTTGCTTCTGATTGGATAACAGCTATCTACCACTGACTCCGTTTTCTCTGCAACGTTGATGTTTTATCTCTAAAAATAACTCAAAGCCTTAAGTAGTTCTTCTGTGTGGTGGAGTTGCTAATGCTAATGGTTAGCTTCTACTAGCCAAGATGTTCTCTGCTGTTTCCCGGATGCTAAAACAATAACAGCCTTCCCCGTCATGAGTAACCCCTGCTTTCCACAGGAGCCGTCAGCAGCACGTTACTGCAGCAGCACGTCATAGCTGCTGATAGGAACCGCTGTGGTCAACAGAACCTTTTCCACAGCAGCCGTCAGCAGCGCGAGTCGAGTCGGCCGCGTCTCAGGAGCAGCATGTCGCGGCCTTTATGCGCCGGTTCTATTTTCTACGCGCGACGCCTCTGAAACGGGTCAAGTTCGACATTTTTGGGGAAGGAAAGACAGGAAATCGGACGCGGAAATGGAGAGAAGCTCCCGAGATTTTCAGAATAAAGAAACGTACTGCCTTCCGGTCGCTTTACTTTTAAAAAAGGTTACTAAATGTGCGGCCCCGTGAGAAGTTATCAACTAGCAAGCGGTCTCCTTTGTTTTTTCAGGTCCGTATTGGCGATTATAAAACGGACAGAACATAAAACACAAACATTTTGGAGCCATGTTGTAGTTTTCTCCTGCTTGTTGTTGTGTTTACTGACGAAGTCACTCGTGTGACTTCGTGCTCTGTCGGTGACAGCTGCTCCCCTGCTGCTTCGCGTCTCGTGGGAAGGGCCAAGCAGCAGTTTACGCGAGCAAGACGTGCTGCTGACGGCTCCTGTGGAAAGCAGGGGTCAGATAGGTGAGTCCATGAATATTCGGTGACAGTGTGCCTTAGATCTGTGAGGATTTTCAAATCCTAGAGTTTCACCGTCTTGTTTTCTATCAAAAGCTAATGCAGGAGATAGGTGTAGGAGACTGTTTTCATGTTCAGCCTGCATGACAAACTCAAAGTGACTGATTATATTCAGAAATAATAATAAAAGGTGCAGTATGTAAGAATATCGTGAGAATTTTACAGTTGAGGAAATCCCAAAGAGTCTCTGGCTGCTGGATTGTCAGTTTTTCTCGTTTCAAAACAAAGGAAGGAGGGACGTAACTACTGTTTACCATCAGTGAGTGTGGAGTTGCCATGTCTTCTGCGAGCGAATACAGCACCGACAATTGTTATTTGACTACAGCTGGCAAAAAGCTCCTGAGTTGTTTAAAGTGGTTGCGGTAACCAGCTTTTACCACAGGATGTCTTATTTGACTTGATTTCTACATAATGCACCTTTAAAATAGTTTTTAAGTGAACCACACTTTTAACACTCTTACTTCAACACACACCTGATTTTAATGAGTGACTAATTAACAGGCTTCAGGTTAAGGAGGTGATTAAATCACCTTTTCAGTCAGGTTTGCTGGAGCAGGAAAACATGGAAGCCCT